ATCCAACCTGTTAAGAAAAGAATCTGACAACTTTCCATCTAATTTAACACAAGATTTAACATGAGAGTACACGGACCTTACAACTTTTAGGAGCTTTCCTCTTATACCAAGTTTTGATAGCTTATTCACTAAATTTATTCTATTTACCATATCAAATGCTTTACGAAAATCGACAAAGCAACAATACAATCTTTTCTTATTAATAAATGATTTGGATATAATAGAATGTAAACAAAATATAGCATCTACTGTACTAGGACCAGGTCTTAACCCAAATTGAGCATCAGTTATTACATCATATGTTTCTGACCATTTTAAAAGTCTATTATTTGAAACAGAAGTGAATAAATTTAATTTTCCCAAACAACTTACTATACTAATACCTCTAAAATTGTAAGGGTCAGTTAGGTCACCCTTTTTATGTACCGGTGTAATTACAGCAAGTGCCCTATCAGCAGGATAGAGACCAGATTCCAATATATTGTTAAAAAAGTTTACACAAAATAGGTAATAAAATATCCCTCCCTACCAATAAACTTTCATTTAAGATATAATCTATACCATGGGAATTTCCCTTCTTTAAATTTTTGATGTTTTGCAAATTTCATCAATAGTAATAACTTGGTCCAATTCTTCATATAATGGTACTTCATCTGAATGATTGTGAGATTGATCAGGTTCTTGATCAGAGTTATCATTCGTGGTCAAATTTTTGAAGTGCTCAAATAAAAATTTCAATTCAATATCTGGTTTCTTGGACTAAGTTGTAGTGAATTTTCCGTAAAATTCCTTAGGATTGTTCAATCTCATATATTCAAGCATGTCGCCTTCACACTTTAAATACATTCTTTTTTTCATAGATTCTTTTAATTTATAGTTCCTTTTCTTCTTCACAAGCAGAGTATGATTAAATACATTTTTTCCCTTATTGAAGTTATACAGAGCTTATTTGTACAAGCTGTACAAAGTTTTCAATTCCATATCAAACCATGGTTTGTCAGTAATAAAATTGATTAACCCATCTCGGCATGTATAATTATGGTTATCTTGCTTGGCATCACAACATTTAGTTAATTTTACAAGGAAGATTCCATAGATTTCATCAGTATTTCAGTAAAACTACTCACACTAGTGTTAATATCAGACGGAGTAACAACATCAGAGACGGTTACAGCAACACATAGGTTATCCTGTCAGATAACAAATTTAAAAAACAATCCTTAAATTCATCATTCAATTTGTATAATGGTTTACGCTCCCCACTTTCAGTAACATCATGTGTAACAGTGTGATGAATCTGACATTTTAATTGAATATGCAAAGGAGCATACATTAAAATTTGAAATTATAAATTGTTCCAGAATATTAAATAATGAATCTGTAATTATACAGTAATCTATAGTACTCATGCCATTGTGTCCATAGTATCTAAAATTATTTGAGTATCCTTTGTTGTTTAGAAAGTTCGTAATTACACCAATGTTGTCCGATACTTCAGTAATTAAATCTTTGTTGTTTAGACAATACGTAATTATACCAATGTTGTCCGATACACCAGTAATTAATTCTTTGTTGTTTAGACAATAAGTAATTAAACCAATGTTGTCTGATACTCAAGTTATTAAATATTTGTTGTTTAGACAGTACGTAAATATACCAATGTTGTCTGATACTTAAGTAATTCTTTGTTGTTTAGACAATACGTAATTATAACAATGTTGTCTGATTCTTAAGTAAGTCAATCTTTGTTGTTTAGACAATACGTAATTATACCAATGTTGTCGGATACTCAAATAATTAAATATTTGTTGTTTAGACAATACGTAATTATACCAATGTTGTCCGATACTTAAGTAATTCTTTGTTGTTTAGACAATACGTAATTATAACAATGTTGTCTAATTCGTAAGTAAATAAATCTTTGCTGTTTAGACAATACGTAATTATACCAATGTCGGCTGATACTTAAGTAATCAAATCTTTGTTGTTTAGACAGGACGTAATTATACCAATGTTGTCTGATACTTAAGTAATAAAATATTTGTTGTTTAGACAGTACGTAATTATACCAATGTTGTCTGATACTTAAGTAAGTATATCTTTGTTGTTTAGACAGTACGAGCTTTTATCAATGTTGTTCAGTACATAAGTTGTCTTGACATTTTTGTTAAAGGGAGATCACGGCGAAGCACAATTTTTTTCCATTTTTTTTAGATGCTACATAAACATATCAAGTGAGTCTCCTTATGAAAAATAACGGTCGGATTTGGCTTATATATATTCATAAAAATTAGTAATTTTAAGATAATTATCGGGATTTCTACCTGTGTGACCAACGTTTTGTTCAAGGATTTCCCTCTACTATAGATCATGCGCATATAGCACACCAGTTCATTGTCAACAAAATGTACATGTACAGTATTTAAATCGGTTTTGGTCAGTTGTAACATAACTATTTTAATGATGTTCAGTTGTTATTAATAATATCGATGTTGTTTAGATGTAAATATAATAAATTGATGTTGTCCTGTTGCTAAGGATATACTCTTCTGAGGTTTCAATCACGTTAAAGTCTCGTTTTGCTGTCGTGTAAGGGCATTTCAAAATATTTTAAAAACTATGATCAATATTAATAGCGGTAATAGTTCGGTACATATAAAATAACTTATTGTACATACACTTACAGCGTAGCCGTATCGATATCGATTTGTGGACAACTCGTACGCGTCACTGGTCGTTTGCCTGATAAGGGTAAGATAGTACATACCGTACTAGTCATCGATACGTCACATATAAACACTTATTGGTTGTGATGCATGAATATTTTCACAATTGCGTACACTTAGTGAAATAAGCATCAGCTGATATATACATACTTCAAATATGGCGCCGGATTATTTTCTGTTTCCTTTACGGTTCAGCAAGATTTCATCATCACATTTACATACATGTAAGATGTTTTCATGTCTTCACAGCTACACACGAAACACGAGGTACAGAAAAATACGAAAAAGAATTAATAAACGTGCTGTTAACCCGAAATGAACAATACTTAAATAAAAGAGATTAACTGATGCAATTTCGGTCAGGATTTTTTTATTTTACTTGCATTACTCAATAGCAGCTTCGTTCTGTTAACATTCGACGAGTCACTATCAGAGCAGGTGATCAGTGCACCAAAATAACGACCGACGTAAATGATAGAAAAACGTAGGAATGACTATGTATAACGTTTTTACCAAAATACGCGCCCTCTCCTTATTAACGCTCTTCCTTTTTTTCATCACATATCGAGTGATACATTTCAATGACAAATTTCAATAAACGTTATGAAAATACCGCTCTCTGTTTTCTTAATCATGAACATTTTGACAGAATATTTCGAAAACCAATTCTTCCGTTTCCAAACGAAATCAGGCGCCACATTTAAAACATAAAATCAGTTGCAATTCAAATGTTTCAAAACATTTATTTGACCCGTCAATATCAAGTCAACTAGATATTTCCAACGGAATATATCTGTAACAGATTAAATGATAAACTCACACCCCGTTATATAGCATGTATGATGTCGTTGTGGTAGTGTACCTCCACCACGTAACAGGTTGATTTCTTTACTTTACAACGGGTACACCCGACACATATATGTATTTACAGTTTCAACTATGCGGATCACACATACGTAATATATAATGGACCCCACTGGTTGAGGCTCTAGTTTTCAAAGCAAAATAAAGAATGTTTCTATCATACCCTCCCCGGATATTTTCGATATCTCTTTTTCGGTCTGAAATTGCTAAAAGTTTTTCAGCTCCCGCGAGGCGTCAGCCTTACTCCCTAAGCCCCCACTTTCGCTCCCCCAACTCCCCCTCATAACATCCATTTTTATGAGATTTATTAAAAAATGCTAAAAATAACTTATATTTTTACTATTTTTTTATTATTATAATTACTTGCTTTAGTAAGGAGTTTCTTAATAGAAAACAAGCACACACAATTTTATATCGTATTATCCCTGAAGTCACTTTGACAACCTCTCACCCATATACAAACCACTAATGCTGGATTTTCATCCATCGTCAACTTGTATCTACATTATTCTTACCCATTTAAAACAGATATGTTTCACAATCAGAATCATTGTACATTTCCTACCTAGGGTTACCGTTCTCCATGAAAGGTGTTGATTAGAACATCAACATTTTCATCAAGAAAATACTGAATCCCTTGGTACCTTTTACCAGGAAATCAACTGCACGCAAAATAACAGAAATACCATTTTTTCTAGGGAGTGACTTGACAAAAGAAATGAACAAATAGATATTAATAGCAATCTTGATTTTGACGATTATCCTTTGATGTGTAAATCCTAGGACAAATTATGCTTGATTATTGAAGATTATTGGGTCATGTACTTCACGGAAATTGCGAATGCCTTGATTCTGGATCTAAACGTTTGGAATTCAACATGCATGGGACTGACTTTTGTAAATAAATCGACATAGTTAAAATGACAAATACTTCGAACTGCACAATACAGTGATACTATATTTAAATGTTTCTCGTTATTTGGTGCTGACATTATTGGTAATACAATATATTAAGCTTTATATCCATGGTTATTTCCACATACCATTGCAACAAAAAATACGAACGGAACATTACAACACAGGTGGCAATTAAAACCCATTAACCTCTTTAGAACACATTTAACACAACTAAAACACAGATTTCGTACGGATGTACGGACTAACGGACCGAAACAACGGCTCTCGAGTATCGTTACGGGGGCACAATAGCCATGGAAGGACGAACATTATTCTATCGCATATTTGATTGAGACTCGATCAAGAATAAAACAATACGCTATAGAAAAATATTGGAGAAACTTCTTAATTAGACTAAAAAAAACCACGGTCAGAAACTTGAAATGGTTTACAAGTACAGCAATAAAGTAAATATCTACTTGGAATTGACTGATAACGTACAGGAATTTAGCAATGCTTAAATTAGAGAAAAGTCTTTATTTAAGTATACATACTTTGCAATAAAACAATTATCTCCTATCCTTAATTCACGAACAAGTCGACATTTTATGTTTCAAATGATTAATTAGAGCTATTTTATCACATGTAACATTACCGTATATATTCATATCAAATTGAAAATACCCGCTTTGATTGTTAGTCCGACAATGTCAACGAAAAAAGTAAATGCGTAACTGACACTTCATTCAGAACTAGGTAATATTTTTTATTTAATAACTGATATTTGTAATTTAAACGTAAGATATTCACTTCAATATAAACACTTTTGATTTCATCCATCATTCATATTTACGATAGAAATGATTTTTACATTTTCGTTAAATAAACAAGAACAGTTATGTTAATGGTATATATATCAAGAATACACTATTATGTCAAATGTCGATATTGTGTACGATTGATTCTGCAAGTCATACAAGTTGGAACACTTGGATGGAATCCCTCTGATCTGATACGTTTGTTACCACCAGTTTATCACCACAAACAGATATTGCTATTGGGTGTGTGATACCGTCCGCTGCCGTTAACAGTTCCCGGACGTTAGTCCCGTCCCCGGACATCTGTACCACGTTGTTGGAGCTGTAACCACATACATAGACGTTACCTTCCACGTCGACGTCCACTCCACACGCATACTTCACTACACCAACCTTCAACACGTCCGTGTACTTGTTGTCAGTAGACAACCTACCAATCGCCGTACTGCCAGTAGTAACGGTATGATGAGAGACAAAGAGCTGTCCGTCCTTGGAATCATGTGACAACGCGTATACATCACCAGTATATCGATATAACGTCTTGGTCGTCCCGTCTTTCTTAACACTACAGATTTCGAATCCTGTAGGCACGATAAACTCACCATTTCTGTACGTTATACCGATATATTGTTGGTTTGTGTTTATTACAGACGACAGTGTAAGTTTGGAGGGTGTCACAGTCACTACACGTATACCTCCGGGACTCTGTATAGCGGCCGCCACAGTGGTGTTATCCACCATACACAGATCCCACGGACATCCATCCAAGTTTAACTCGTCCACAACATTCCCCTCATCGTTTATTAACTTGATCTTCTGATTGTTGTTATCTCCCACCACAATTCTGCCGTCAGGAAGGTATACAACACCACGGGCATCACAAGCAAATTGATCAGACGGACATTTTATGTTCACCTTTCTTATTTCCTTTACTTCACATTGGGATAAAGGTTTGACGAGAGTTGGGCCACTTGGGAAATCTCTTCGTTGCTTTCGGACAACGACTTTACCAAAGTTCAGACTTGTCACGTCCGAATCGATTTCATGTTCAATACTGACAGTTGAAATCGACATCTGCATTTCTTTCACTAGATCCTTAAAAGCCTCGAGCTCCGTCTGACCTTTCTGGTACAGCAAGATCGTGTCCATATGGTTGTTCCTCTGTAGTGCTGTAGCGGACGATTCTAATGTATTCTGTATAGCGACCTTCAGCCGTTCAAACTTCTGAATGGACACCTTCAGATTTTCTCTTTCCTGTTTGTACGCCGTGATTACGTCATCTGTGATTTCCTTCTTCATCTCTCTGATACGTTTATCCATACGTTCCTGCAGGTCGTCGATGCTTTTCAGTACCGCATCTTTGTCGTCTGCAATGTTCTGTTGTCGTAGATAAAAATCCTTTATCGTGGATTCCATGTCGTCTGCTCCTTGTTGTAGAAATGTCTTTCTTTCCTCTAGTTGGGAGCTACTATTCAGTTTCTCACAGTAATCCTCTGTTGTGGACACGTTGTCACATTTCCTGTGACCAACAGTTATACATTTACTGCAACCCAGGGACTTGTGATCCTCGCAATAATAAGCAATCACATCCTTGTGTTTGTAGCATTTTTTGTCAGATGTGTTTTGCCTCAGTTGCCAATTCTCGGAAGCCTTAATATCTACGATATCACAGCCAACGTGGATATTATCATGCAAATCTACTTTACAAGACTCACAGAACAATGACTCGTTATGTTTACACCAGAACTGTGCAGGTACCATGGTTCCCTTCCTCCTTTGGCAAGGCGCGCAGTAACGTGGCTCTGTCGTCCTGTTTCTCAGTTGTATCATCTCTATGGTAACGTTGTCGGTCGGGAACTGCTGGGCCCATTTCTCTTTGTCCTCTGTTTTGTCCACAGGGTGAGTTAGGGTCCTACATACCGGACAGATAAAGGAAGTCGCCGTATCACTCGTCCCTGACACCTCATTGACGATGTAGCTACTCAAACATTCCTCACAAAGAGAATGACGACACGGCAGAGACTTCGGCTGACGTAACTGCTCAAGACAGATCGGACATTCGAGAAGGTGGGAGTCCGACAGGTTTGGTAGTGTGCTGTCTTCAGAGCGAGGGTCTGGATGGGGAACACCTTCCGCCATTGTATACGTACTCAAACGCTAGTTCCGTATCTGCAAGTATGAGAATAACGAAACATTATCGGCATGACTTTTCTGGTACGTAAATAACTTATTTTCATCAATTAGATAGAAATAACACATTGTTCATGTTATTACATTCACACATTTGGTTGTAGACACCTGTAGAGATGCAACGACATGTTACGTATAAAACACTGACAATTTGACTCGTAAACGTTTTCATTTTGTATATCCTGTATTCTGCTGATAGGAGAGAAATGCAGAGAAATAAAAGTTATTCATTCTGATAACAAAAAACGGAATAGTGAAGTGTTAAAAAGAGCATTGTTATAGGTTCAAAACAAATTTTAAGTGATGCAAAAAGCTTTTAGTTTACACGTATCTTGACTATTATTATAAACTCAATGTGTATACGTTACATTTGCCTGGTATAGTGAATTTCAGCCGAAATGTAACTGATGTATAAAACATCTTTTCTGAATCAAAATGGCTCAAACTCTTCGAATACGTCGAACGATTACGTATAATGAATACAGTCAGTACATTCGCCTTATATAGTGCACTCATTTGCAGTTTATATATATTACGTTTTGTGACTCATCGTGTCATTTGACTCATACAGTGAAGACTAAATGCGTGGCTCTATTTGGATTGGTTCTACAAAAACAAGCATGGCTTTAGATATGAAAGAACAACGATCGTACATTTTGTACGTACATCTCAGACTACGTCAAAATATTGTATGCATTTTATTTCTCAGAGCGAGTGTCCTGTCTCAAGAATTACAACAATATCAAATATTTATCCAATATTTCACTCGATATTTGTGTAGGCGGCGTAATAATTGTGAACACATATACATATGCACATCGAAACATGGAAGTGTAAGGTGTTACGAGTTACCTCCCGTCGTACGATATATACGTACCTTATTGTTCAGACTTAAAAAAGACATACATGGAAACTGATTTTTCTTTCTTGTTATTCCTAATATTTTTCATCAGTATTCGGACATATTTCCGAGATAATCTTCTTTTAATTATATATCCCTCAAACGAATCTGTGCAAACTTACATATTCACCGATAGAAGGAGTCGATAGCATTTTTAGATTATCATGAAATTTGTACTTTGTCGAGAAATCTTACGCATAAGGTATTTATACTGAACGGCAAAATTAAGTATACACTTTTAAAATAAATTTATTGTTGCCAAACATAACGTTTACTGGAAAACCATTGCTATATACGTGAATTCGTATCATTGCAAATTTAAAAGAAATCCACAAATCGAAATAAATTTGTTAGACGTTAAGTTCAGATATTGGCTTCCATACATTTTATACCCTCAGCGCGACATACTGAAGTTATGCGCATGCAAACTGTGCCACGTGCCCTCCGTAAGCTTCCCTGTTAAAGGCCGTAAGGTTTGAGTGTGTCGGCAATATGGCAAGACTTTCAATAGCGGATAGAAATCGTGCGATTGGGGTGCTACAAGCCCGGGGATCAAAACGTCATGTGACGCGTGTGATGAATTGTACGAGATTTACGATTAAGTGCCTTTTGAAGTGTTATCGACAAGTAGAACATGTCAACCAACTCCCTGGAGCAGAACGGCGACGTGAATCTGTAATCGATGTGTAACGTCGAATCAAAACGACATTTAGTGTTAACCATGAGAAAACGCTGTGTGGCAGACAATGGCGGACACACAACATATTGACGTCACAAGTGTATTTTGACTGTATACAGTGGTGACGTCAAAACCACGTGAAAAATTGAAATGACCCCTACGTCGTTCTGCAAGACCGTTTGCCTTTTTGGTAGTTGACGGCAGTCTTGACTCTGTAAAATCTGTCTATAGTTATTAAATTTTACATTTACGATTTAAAATCGACTTTATCAATATGAAATAAATTATCTGATGCCTTTTATAAAGTGTATACTTGATTTTGCCGGTCAGTATATGTATATGTGCGTGTGTGCTGTTAAAGGAAAATGTTGTCTTGGTTTTTATGTTCCCTTAAATTTCTTAAAATGTATGTTTCAAACTATTTGTGTGTCTAATTTCCTTCTTAAAATCTAGATATTTACCGCCCGACAAATCGTTTATTACGAATATGTGAAAACTAGTAAATTTTTTGAACGCTACCTATGACGACATATATAAATATAATATTTGCTTTTTAGCTGTGTAAACTACATATTATTCAATTCATATCACAGAGTATAATACATATTTATTCAAAATAGACATGAATGTGTTCGAACAATTAACTTCCGATATGTTCATATCATTTAACAAGATTTTAACAACAATTTCAGTGATACCCTACGACAATGCGTTTCCAATGGAAGAGTTCAAGCCCTGACGACCCTTCATACTCACGCGTGTATCCACGCAGACACATGTATACATATATACACACACACACGTTTCTCGGTCAACCATACCATAACAATTTATTTATAGAACGAGAGTTTGCCCAACTTTTCCTATTACTTCCGCTCTGTTTGTAATCAGAAAATGACGCCGTTGGATACGTAAAGCCATCACATTATGGTATCCTTCGGTGGTATAACTGAACAAACAATGCCTTTCGTACTCTTTTGTGCATAGATAGTAAACTGGTGACGTCATGTACTTCCTCTTTCGGTTTCCGTACGTCTAACATTATTACAGCCGCTACAACATATTCTACGATTACAATGAACGTATTCTAAGTAAATACACTCTATTTACATGTTCATTTGGTGTAAATGGTGTTACTATTACTCAAATATAAGTACGGAATATGTACGACTGTACTTACCGCTCCACCAATGAATAAATATGGTTGTAATGACGATTGACGAGGTGTAGATGTGGGACACCTCTCCGTCGTTATGGCGCCCTTTAGAATGTGACTCAATACACTAATAACACGTCCGTACATTGTAATGCCGTTACGATATATCCGGATAACTTACGGATTGTTTACTACACATCGCTTGTTTCGTTAAAGATATTTTCTAGAGAACAAATTAACACATCATCCTTACGTATTTAATTGACAATTTACGTTTAAAAATACATCCCCTCCGTACAATGACGTTTTTCAGAGCTTTTATCAACTACACATCATCGAATTGAATTTCATGAAATTAATATCCGTTTAACTTCAGATTTAGGTAATCCGAAACTGTTCATTTACTCTATGCATTATAGTTTTATCAGTAAGTACAGGTACTGAGATTTAACGTAAATCACTACATGTATGATATAAATAGATAACATAATTTCTTTTGATATATCAGTGTGGTACGAAACCAGAGTACAATTAGACAGAAAATTCCAACGTCTCAAATCAATAAATTCCTATAAAATATCAACGTTTGAAAAACTGATATTTGATATATTTTTGTTTGTTTTGGGTGTATTTAAGATAGAGCGGCAAAAAGAAAATGAAGATGATCAAGAGATATATTATAAGGATAAATGGCAGAGCTTTTTATGTAGGTCTGAAATATCGCCTACCATGATATTGCCTGAAACATGTGAACATGAACGAGTATTAAAAAAACGAACATCTGTAACAAAAAAGATAACACAAATTATCTGGTTCACAGTGTGAAAATCATGTTCAATTCAACACGAGTTAATTCTTTTAAGTGTACAGTATCTATTATAGTTTATCAAGCTTTAGCGTGTATAACGAAATCAAACTATATCAAATATGGAGTGGGATTTCGTATACATATCATAAAAATGTGTCACGTCGTTATTTATCTAGTGGCAGCTAATAGTCGTTATCAGAGATGTATTACAAAGATATGATGTTCGGGTATGATGTTCGGATTGTGTGTACATGTATGATGTTCAGACTGTATGTACATGTATGATGTTCGGATTGTGTGTACATGTATGATGTTCAGACTGTATGTACATGTATGATGTTCGGATTGTGTGTACATGTATGATGTTCAGACTGTATGTACATGTATGATGTTCGGATTGTGTGTACATGTATGATGTTCAGACTGTATGTACATGTATGATGTTCGGATTGTGTGTACATGTATGATGTTCAGACTGTATGTACATGTATGATGTTCGGATTGTGTGTACATGTATGATGTTCAGACTGTATGTACATGTATGATGTTCGGATTGTGTGTACATGTATGATGTTCAGACTGTATGTACATGTATGATGTTCGGATTGTGTGTACATGTATGATGTTCAGACTGTATGTACATGTATGATGTTCGGATTGTGTGTACATGTATGATGTTCAGACTGTATGTACATGTATGATGTTCGGACCTATGTACATGTATGTAGTTCAGACTGTATGTGCACGTATAATGTTAGGACTGTATGTACATGTGTGATGTTCGAATTATTTGTATATATATGTAGGATGTTCGGACCGTATGTACATGCATGATGTTCGGACTGTATGTACTAATATGATGTTCGGACTGTGTGTATATGTATGATGTTCTGATTGTATGTACATGTATGATGTTTGGATTGTAAGTACATGTATGATGTTCGGACTGTATGTACATGTATGATGTTCGGACTGTATGTACACGGATGATGTTCGGACTGTATGTACATGTATGGTGTTCGGACTGTAGGAACATGTACATTGTATGATGTTCGGATTGTATGTACATGTATGAAGTTTGGATTATACGTACATGAATGATGTTCGGACCGTATGTACATGTAGGATGTTCGGACTGTATGTCCATGTATGATGTTCCGATTGTATGTTGTATGATGATCAGATTGTATGTACATGTCTGAAGTTTGGATTATAGTACAGGAATGGTGTTTGGGCTGTATGTAGATGCATGATGTTCGGATTATTTGTATATATATGTAGGATGTTCGGACTGTATGTACATGCATGATGTTCGGACTGTATGTACTTATATGATGTTCGAACTGTATGTACCTGTATGATGTTCTGACTGAATGTACATGCATGATGTTAGGAATGAATGTACATGTATGATGTTCTGACTGTATGTATATGTAGGGTGTTCTGACTGTATGAACATATATGATGTTCGGACTGTTTGCACATGTATGATGTTCGGACTGCATGTACAAGTATGATGTTCGGACTGTATGTCATGTATTAAGTTCGGATTATACGTACAGGAATGATGTACGGGATGTATGTACATGTATCATGTTCGGACTGTATGTACATGTATCATGTTCGGACTGTATGTACATGTATGATGTTCGGACTTATGTACATGTATAATGTTAGGACTTATGTACATGTGTTATGTTCGGACTGTATGTACATATATGATGTTCGGACTGTATGTAGATGTATGATGTTCGGACTGTATGTACATATATGATGTTCAGATTGTATGTTTTATGATGTTCGGACTGTATGTACATGTTTGATGTTCGGACTGTATGTATATATATAATGTTCGGACTGTAGGTACATGTATGATGTTCGGACTGTGGGTACATATATGATGTTCGGACTGTTTGCACATGTATGATGTTCGGACTGTATGTACATGTATGATGTTCGGACTGTATGTACATGTATTAAGTTCGGATTATACGTACAGGAATGATTACGGGATGTATGTACATGTATCATGTTCGGACTTATGTACATGTATGATGTTCGGACTTATGTACATGTATGATGTTCGGAATGTATGTACGTGTATGATGTTCGGATTGTATGTACATGTATCATGTTCGGACTGTATGTACATGTATGATGTTCGGACTTATGTACATGTATGATGTTCGGACTTATGTACATGTATGATGTTCGGACTGTATGTACATGTATCATGTTCGGATTGTATGTACATGTATCATGTTCGGACTGTATGTACATGTATGATGTTCGGACTTATGTACATGTATGATGTTCGGACTTATGTACATGTATGATGTTCGGACTGTATGTACATGTATCATGTTCGGATTGTATGTACATGTATCATGTTCGGACTGTATGTACATGTATGATGTTCGGACTTATGTACATGTATGATGTTCGGACTTATGTACATGTATGATGTTCGGACTGTATGTACATGTATCATGTTCGGATTGTATGTACATGTATCATGTTCGGACTGTATGTACATGTATGATGTTCGGACTTATGTACATGTATGATGTTCGGACTTATGTACATGTATGATGTTCGGACTGTATGTACATGTATCATGTTCGGATTGTATGTACATGTATCATGTTCGGACTGTATGTACATGTATGATGTTCGGACTTATGTACATGTATGATGTTCGGACTGTATGTACGTGTATGATGTTCGGATTGTATGTACATGTATCATGTTCGGACTGTATGTACATGTATGATGTTCGGACTTATGTATCTGTATAATGTTAGGACTGTATGTACATGTGTTATGTTCGGACTGTATGTACATGTATGGTGTTCGGACTGTAGGTACATGTACATTGTATGATGTTCGGAATGTATGTACATGTATGATGTTCGGACTGTATGTACATGTATGATGTTCGGACCTATGTACATGTATGTAGTTCAGACTGTATGTGCACGTATAATGTTAGGACTGTATGTACATGTGTGATGTTCGAATTATTTGTATATATATGTAGGATGTTCGGACCGTATGTACATGCATGATGTTCGGACTGTATGTACTTATATGATGTTCGGACTGTGTGTATATGTATTATGTTCTGATTGTATGTACATGTATGATGTTCGGATTGAGTGTACATGTATGATGTTCTGACGGAATGTACAAGTATGATGTTAGGAATGTATGTGCATGTTTGATGTCCGGACTGTATGTACATGTATGGTGTTCGGACTGTAGGAACATGTACATTGTATGATGTTCGGATTGTATGTACATGTATGAAGTTTGGATTATACGTACATGAATGATGTTCGGACCGTATGTACATGTAGGATGTTCGGACTGTATGTCCATGTATGATGTTCCGATTGTATGTTGTATGATGTTCAGATTGTATGTACATGTCTGAAGTTTGGATTATAGTACAGGAATGGTGTTTGGGCTGTATGTAGATGCATGATGTTCGGATTATTTGTATATATATGTAGGATGTTCGGACTGTATGTACATGCATGATGTTCGGACTGTATGTACACGTATGATGTTCGGACTGTATGTACATGTATGATTTTCGAACTGTATATACATGTTTGATGTTCGGATTAAATGCTGTACATGTATGATGTTTGGACTGTATGTACATGTTTGATGCTTTAATTGTATGTACATGTTTGATGTTCGGATTATATGTATATGTATGATGCTTGGACGGTATGTACATGTCTGATGTTTGGACTGAATGTACATGTGTGAGGTTCGGACTGTGTGTACATATATGATGTTCGGACTATATGTACATGTATGATGTTCGGATTGTATGTACATGTGTGATATTCGTACTGTATGCTGTACATGTATGATGTTCGGATCGTATGTACATGTATGCTGTTCAGATTGTATGTTGTTTGATTTTCGGATTGTATGTTGTACATGTATGATATTCAGACTGTGTGTACATGTATGGTGTTCGGAATGTGTGTACATGTATAATGTTCGGACTGTATGTACATGTATAATGTTCGAATTGTATGTACATGTATAATGTTCGAATTGTATGTACATGTATGATGTTCGAATTGTATGTACGTGTATGATGTTCAGATTGTATGTTGTGTGATGTTCGGATTGTATGTTGTACATGTATGATGTTCGGACTGTATGTACATTTATGATATTCAGACTGTGTGTACATGTATGATGTTCGGACTGTATGTACATGTATGATGTTCGGATTGTATGTACATGTATGATGTTCGGACTGTATGTTGTACGATGTTCGGATTGTTTGTTGTATATGTATGATGTTCGGACTGTATGTACATGTATGATGTTCAGATTGTATGTTGTATGATTTTTCGGATTGTATGTACATGTATGATGTTCGGACTGTATGTACATCTATGATGTTCAGACTGTGTGTACATGTATGGTGTTCGGAATGTGTGTACATGTATGATGTTCGGACTGTATGTACATGTATGATGTTCGAATTGTATGTACATGTGTGATGTTCGAACTGTTTGTTGTACATGTATGATGTTCGGATTGTATGTTGTACGATGTTCGGATTGTTTTTTGCATATGTATGATGTTCGGACTGTATGTACATGTATGATGTTCAGATTGTATGTTGTATGATGTTCGGATTGTATGTTGTACATGTATGATGTTCGGACTGTATGTACATGTATGGAATTCGGAATGTGTGTACATGTATGATGTTCGGACTGTATCTATATGTCTGATGTTCGGACTGTATGTTGTACATGCATGATGTTTGGACTGTATGTACAAGTATCATGTTCAGACCGTCTGTACATGTATGGTGTTCGGAATGTGTGTACATGTATGATGTTCGGACTGTATGTACATGTATGATGTTCGAATTGTATGTACATGTATGATGTTCAGATTGTATGTTGTATGATGTTCGGATTGGATGTTGTGCATGTATGATGTTCGGACTGTATGTATGATGTTCAGACTGTGTCTACATGTATGATGTTCGGAATGTGTGTACATGTATGAGGTTCAGATTGTGTGTACATGTATGGTGTTCGGAATGTGTGTACATTTATGATGTTCGGACTGTATCTACATGTCTGATGTTCGGACTGTATGTTGTACATGCATGATGTTCGGACTGTATGTACATGTAAGATGTTCAGACAGTCTGTACATGTATGGTGTTCGGAATGTGTGTACATGTATGATGTTCGGACTGTATGTACATGTATGATGTTCGAATTGTATGTACCTGTATGATGTTCGGATTGTATGTTGTACATGTATGATGTTCGGACTGTATGTACATGTATGATATTCAGACTGTGTGTACATTATGGTGTTCGGAATGTGTGTACATGTATAATGTTCGGATTGTATGTTGTACGATGTTCGGATTGTTTGTTGTATATGTATGATGTTCGGACTGTATGTACATGTATGATGTTCAGATTGTATGTTGTATGATTTTTCGGATTGTATGTACATGTATGATGTTCGGACTGTATGTACATGTATGATGTTCAGACTGTGTGTACATGTATGGTGTTCGGAATGTGTGTACATGTATGATGTTCGGACTGTATGTACATGTATGATGTTCGAATTGTATGTACATGTATGATGTTCGGATTGTATGTTGTATGATGTTCGGATTGTATGTTGTACATGTATGATGTTCGGACTGTATGTACATGTATGATATTCAGACTGTGTGTACATGTATGGTGTTCGGAATGTGTGTACATGTATAATGTTCGGACTGTATGTACATGTATGATGTTCGGATTGTATGTACATGTATGATGTTCGGATTGTATGTACATGTTTGATGTTCAGATTGTATGTTGTATGATTTATCGGATTGTATGTACATGTATGATATTCGGACTGTATGTACATGTATGATGTTCAGACTGTGTGTACATGTATGGTGTTCGGAATGTGTGTACATGTATGATGTTCGGACTGTATGTACATGTATGATGTTCGGATTGTATGTACATGTATGATGTTCAGATTGTATGTTGTATGATTTTTCGGATTGTATGTACATGTATGATGTTCAAACTGTATGTACATGTATGATGTTCAGACTGTGTGTACATGTATGGTTTTCGGAATGTGTGTACATGTATGATGTTCGGACTATATGTACATGTATGATGCTGGAACTGAAGGTAGATGTATGTTGTTCGGATTGTATGTACATGTTTGATGTCTGGACTGTATGTACATGTTGGATGTCTGGACTGTATGTTGTACATGTATCATGTTCGGACTGTATGTCTATGTATGATGTTCGAACTGTATGTATAGGTATGATGTTCTGACTGTATGTACATGTTTGATGCTCGAATTGTATGTACATGTATGATGTTCGGATTGTATGTTGTACATGTATGATGTTCAGACTGTATGTACATGTATGATGTTCGGATTGTATGTTGTACATGTATGATGTTCAGACTGTATGTACATGTATGGAATTCGGAATGTATGTACATGTATGATGTTCGGACTATATGTACATGTATGATGCTCGGACTGTATGTTGTACATGTATGATGTTCGGATCGCATGTACATGTATGCTGTTCAGATTGTATGTTGTATGATGTTCGGATTGCATGTTGTACATTATGATGTTCGGATTGTATGTATATGTTTGATGTTCGGATTGTATGTACATGTATGATGTTCGGACTTTATGTATATGTTTGATGTTCTGATTGTATGTACATGTATGATGTTCGGACTGTATGTATATGTTTGATGTTCGGATTGTATGTACATTATGATGTTCGGACTGTGTTATCATCTATTATGTTCAGACTGTTGTAAACATCTATTTTTTTGTTTAAGCGAATAATCTAGAATAGCAGATAAAAATTAGGCAGGTTAGCAATGGAGTGTATTTTATTAAAACAAATATATCATTCACAATTCTTATTTATTCAAAGTGTTGTTTTCTCAATTTACTTATGAACAACATGGCGTGTATTTATAAATGTTACGATTCAAAAGAAATATACTTTTATTTATCGTCTTGTAATGTGTACAGAATTGAAGTAATGAAATATGTATGTTTTGTAGACTTCAGATTATTGTACAATCTCCCGTACCGACTGAGCTACGTCATCAATGGATGTTTCCTGACACAACTGCTACAGTTTCATGCAACATAAAGTTAATGAAGGTTACTGTGTATATGTACAGCACAAATGTCAGTGATCTACACATAGTTATCTACATATTTTACCGTTTTTATTCGTAAGGATATAACTTTAATTATTTATTTCATGCAATGGAATTATTATAAAGTGTAATAGAAAAGAAACTATGACAAAAGGCAGGAAATTACCGATTTATATAAACAAGAACAGTTATGTTAATGATATATCAAGAATACACTATGATGTCAAATGTCAATCTTGTGTACGATTGATTCTGCGAGTCATACAAGTTGAAACACTTGGATGGAATCCTTCTGACCTGATCCGTTTGTTACCACCAGTTTATCACCACAAACAGATATTGCTAGTGGTTGTGTGATACCGTCCGCTCCCGTTAACAGTTCCCGGACGTTGGTCCCGTCCCCGGACATCTGTACCACGTTGTGTGAGCCGTTACCACAGACATAGACGTTACCTTCCATGTCTACGTCCACTCCATACGGACACTTAACTACACCAACCTTCAACACGTCCGTGTAGTTGTTGTCAGTAGACAACCTACCAATCACCGTTCTGCCAGTACTATTGGTATAATGGGCGATAAAGAGCTGTCCGTCCTTGGAATTATGTGACAACGCGAATACTCTGCCATTATATCGATATAACGTCTTGGTCGTCCCGTCTTTCTTAACACTGCAGACTTCGGATCCTGTACTCACGATAAACTCTTCATCTCTATACGTTATACCGTAATATGGTTTGTTGTCGTTTATTACAGACGACAGTGTAAGTTTGGAGGGTGTCACAGTCACTACATGTATACCTCTGGTGCTCTGTATAGCGGTCGCCACAGTGGTGTTATCCACCAAACACAGATCCCAAGGTTTTCCATCCATTTTCAACTCGTCCACAACATCCCCCGCGTCGTTGATTAACTTGATTTTGTTATTGCTGTTATCTCCCACCACAATTCTGCCGTCAGGAAAGTATACAACACCACGAGCATAAACATTAGCTTGGTCAGACCGACATTGTATGTTCACTTTTCTTATTTCCCTTACTTCACATTGGGATAAAGGTTTGACGAGACTTGGGACACCTGGGAAATCTCTTCGCTGCTTTCGGACAACGACTTTACCAAAGTTCAGACTTGTCACGTCCGAATCGATTTCATGTTCAATACTGACAGATGAAATCGACATCTGCATTTCTTTCACTAGATCCTTACAAGCCTCGAGCTCCGTCTGACCTTTCTGGTAAAGCCGGATCGTGTCCATATGATCGTTCCTCTGAAGAGCTGTAGCGGACGACGCTAATGTATTCTGTATAGCGACCTTCAGTCGTTCACACTTCTGAGTGGAAACCTTCAGATTTTCTCTTTCCTGTTTGTACGCCGTGATTACGTCATCTGTGATTTCCTTTTTCATCTCTCTGATACGTTTATCCATACGTTCCTGCAGGTCGTCGATGCTTTTCAGTACCGCATCTTTGTCGTCTGCAATGTTCTGTTGTCGTAGGTAAAAGTCCTTTATCATGGATTCCATGTCGTCTGCTCCTTGCTGTAGAAATGTCTTTCTTTCCTCTAGTTGGGAGCTACTATTCAGTTTCTCACAGTAATCCTCTGTTGTGGACACGTTGTCACATTTTCTGTGACCAACAGTTATACATTTACTGCAGCCTAGGGACTTGTGATCCTCACAATAATAAGCAATCTTCTTCTTGTGTTTGTCGCATCGTTTGTCAGATGTTTCCTGTCTCAGCAGGAAATTCCCGGAACCACTAATATTTACGATATCACAGCTCACATGGACCACATCATGGTGATCCACTTTACAAGACTCACAGAACAATGACTGATTAGTTTTACACCAGAACTGTGCAGAGGTCATGCTTCCCTTTCTCTGACAGGGCGCGCAGTAACGTGGCTCTGTCGTCCTGTTTCTCAGTTGTATTATCTCTATGGCAACGGTGTCGGTCGGGAACTGCTGGGCCCATTTCTCTTTGTCCTCTGATTTGTCCACGGGGTGAGTTAACGTCCTACATACCGGACAGATAAAGGAAGTCGCCGTATCACTCGTCCCTAACACCTCACTGACAATGTAGCTACTCAAACATTCCTCACAAAGAGAATGACGACACGGCAGAGACTTCGGCTGACGTAACTGCTCAAGACAGATCGGACATTCAAGAAGATGGGAGTCTGAGAGGTTTCGTAGTGTGCTGTCTTCAGAGTGAGGGTCTGGATGGGGACCACCTTCCGCCATTGTATACGTACTCAAACGCTAGTTCCGTATCTGCAAGTATGAGAATAACGAAATAGTATCGGCATGACTTTGCTGGTACATAAAGAAAAGTTTGCGTACTTGCAACTCAACTTTTTTACAAGTAAGATAGAAATAAGATATTGCACATGTCACTGCATCCGAAAAGAAATTTGTTAACACAATTACGACATGTCATTTGAACCAATCCTGACAATTTGATTAGTTAACGTTCATGCAATCCATTTTTCTGAAGACAAAAGACGGAATGCTCCGTGAACAGTTTAACATAGCATTAATATAGGTTTGACACAAACTTTAAGTGATGCAAAATGTGTATTGGCTACCTAAGTATCTTGAATATTAGTATAAACTCGATGTTTATCAGTTACATTTGTCTGGTATCGTGAATTTCAGCCTCAATGCTACTGATCTATACACCATCTTTCTGAATCAAAATGACACAAACTCTTCATATACATGTGATAAATACATGCAGTACATTTGCCTTATATAGTACATGCATTCGTAGTTTACATCTATTGCGTTTTGTGATCCATTGCGGCATTTGACTTATACAGTGTAGACTAAATGCTTGGCTCTGTTAAAATTGGTTTACATAACAGTTTCTATAAAAACAAACTTGACTTTAGATATGAAAGAATTATGAGCGTACTTTTGGACATCAAAATATTGTATGCGTTGTATTTCTCAGAGCGAATGTCCGATCCGTAGATGTCTCAATAATACCAACAATATAAAATATTTATCCGATATTTCACTCGATATTTGTATAGGCGACGTAATAATTGTATACACATGTACACGAATGTTACATTTGGAATAGGAAAGGGTAATATGTAACGAGTTACCTCCCGTTGTACGATATAGGTGCCTAATTATTCAGACTTAAAAACGTATACATGAAAACTGTGCATCTTGTTACTCCTAATACTTTTCATCAGTACTTGGACATATTTCCGAAGTGATCTTCTTTCAATCGTAATGCGTTCAAACGAAACTGTGCAAACTTACATATTCCCCAATAGAGGGAGTGGATAGCATACTTAGATTAGCGGGAAATTTGCACTTCGCTGTGAAAACTTATATTCAATGTATATATGTGGGTGATATTATAAAAAGTAGAGCGAAGAAAGCCACGGAAATTCATGGATGTTATTTCTTTCTTTTCATCAAAGTAAACATGTTAAGTAACCCTTAGAATACTACTCATAGTTTTACCACGACTCCTGTCCTCCTTCTGTCTGATTTAGGAAAAAGTTGTGTTAGTTTTTATGTTCCATTAAATGTCTTAAAATGTATGTTTCAAACTTTTTGTACGTCTAATTTGCCTCTTAAATTATATTAATGTACCGCCCGACAAATCGTTTATTACGAACATGAGAAAAGAGTAAATTTCAACGTTAAAGCTACTTATTCTGGCGGAGATATCATATATATTCAAAATACACATGATTGTGTTCGAACAATTGAGTTCCGATAAGATCATATCATTTAACAAGAGTACCGCGGGGCGGAACAATATACGCCCGTCAAAAGCCATATAGTGTTAGATACTATCTTACATTGAAATAAGATCTGCATCATTCTAAGAGTGGTTAGCTGACATGCTATAAAAAATGTAGGAGAAAATCTCCGGACAAAAAATCAAATACTGAAATGAACAAAGGAAAATTACCTTTGGAAAAATTATCGAATCAAAATTCTTTTAAGGGATACACAACTTCATATCATGATTATAATGTATACCAAGTTTCAACGAGATCCGTTGAAAAATGTAGGAGGAGATTGCCGGACAAAATATCAAATACTGAAATAAACAAAGGGCAATAACTTTTGGAAAATTGTCGAATCAAAATTATTTTAAGGGAGACACAACTTCATATCATGATTATAATGTATTCCAAGTTTCAAAAAGATCGGTCGAAAAATGTAGCAGAAGAGTGCCGGACAAACAAAAGTTTACGCCGGACGGACGGGCAACCCCATACCATAATCATTCCGTCAAATTTGACTGCCGTATAAAAACGTTTTACCATTTTAAGTCATGTCCTGTGAAAATGCGTTTTAAACGGGAGAAGGTAAGCCCTGACAACCCTTCATACTCACGCATGTATCCACGCAGACACACGTTTCTCGGTCAACCATACCAAAACAATTTATTTATATAACAAGGGTTTGCACAATTTTCCTCTTATTTCCGCTCTGTATGTAATTAGAAAATGACGCCGTTGGATACGTAAAGTCTTCAGATTATGGTATCCGACAGTGGTATTACTGTACAAACAATGCGTTTCTTACTCTATTATGCATAGCTAGTAAATTGGTGACGTCTGTACTTCCTCTTTCGGTTTCCGTACGTCTAACATTACTACAGCCGCTACAACATATTTAACGATTAAAATGAACGTGTTCTTAGTAAAAACACGCTATTTACATGTTCATTTGACGTAAAAGGTGGTACTGTTATAAAACCTCAGTACGGGAGATACTTATTTGTACTTACCGCTCCATCAAGGTATGAATATGGTTGTAGTCTTTGAAGTGACGAGGTGTAGATGTGGGACACGTCCCCGTTGTTAGCTCGGCGCACTTTGGAATGTGACTCAATACACTAATAACACGTCCGTACATTGTAATGCCGGGTACGATATATCCAGATAATTTGCGGATTGTATATATTTACTAGAGAACAAATTAACACAGCATCCGTATACAGGTGTATATTATTGACAGTTTACCTTATAGAAGACATAAACACTCCGGTACAATGACATTTTCTAGAGCTTTTATCACTGACACAACATCGCATTGAATTTCATGAAATAAATATCCGTCTAACTTTACACTAAGAAATCAGAATCCGTTTTTTTACTCTATGTTCTAACGGAAATCATTATAATGCAATCGATAGTGAGATAACTTATTTTGGTATAATATTGTGATACGAAATCAGATTAAATTCAGACGGAAAATTTCAGCCTCTCAAATCAATAAATTCAGACGGAAAATTTCAACCTCTCAAATCAATAAATTCATATAAAATATTCACGTTTGAAAGCTGACATTCGATATATCTTTTAACGGTAGAGCGGCTAAAAAAATGAAAATAAACAAGAAAAACATTTTTATAGAGATAAATGGCAGAGTTTTCTTGTTTGTTATCGCCTATCTATGATATTGCTCAAAACATGTGAACATTAACGAGCATTCAAAAACTAAATAGTTGTGACAAAATATAAGATAACACAAATTATATGGTTCACAGTGTCAAAATCATGTTATCTTTCAACTGGAGTTAATTCTTTTAAGTGTATCGATTTATAAGTTTTTCAAACTTTAGCGTGTTTTACGGAATCAAACAATATCAAATATGGAGTGTGATATCGTATAAATATCGTAAAAAATTGTCACATTATTATTTTTCTAGTGGCAGCTAGTCATTATCAGAGATGTAATACATAAGGTGTGATGTGAGATACATATATGCTGTTCGAATTGTATGTACATGTATGATGTTCGGACTGTATATACATGTATGATGTTCGGATTGTATATACATGTATGTTGTTCAGACTGTATGTACATGTATGATGTTAGGATTATATACATGTATGATGTTCGGACTGTATGTACATGTCTGAC